AAAATTCATCATTTGCACCCATGCAGAATTGCCATAAGACATGAATAGCATCACATGGAGAATGATTCCTAAATCAAAGCTGGCCTAGGAAAAACAGCTACACTGCTACCAAAGCTCCCTAACAGATTTAATGAATATTCCTGAAGCATACATCTACCAAATTATGTTCTTGATATAATGCAGTGACATAATGACGCTGTATTTTAATCTAGAGAAAACAGACAGTGCACCCTTCTCCTTCTCCCTTCTTAAAACACTAATGTACAGTGAGAACTCCCACCTAGAAAGATGAGAAATGTATCCGATTACGTCTAGGAGAAACAAACCCTTACTTTCCAGGAATGCTTTAATCAGAAGTAAAGGATTATTCCAAGTGGCAACGTTCTCTGTCTCCTCTTGAGATCATACAGTTACATTCAAAAAAACAATTCCAAATTGAGCCAGAAAGCAGGAGTGAGCATGACTCATACCGTAAGTAATTAAGGACTCTGGGAAAGAGACTGAGTTACTACTCCTGTTCCAAGAATTGTTTCTACATTTTATGGGTTAGGGCATCTCCTCATAGGTATAAAATGCAGATTAGAAATTATTCTGGCAGATAAAGGAACTCTGAAGTGTCCCATCTTGAGCAAGCATGCTGGTCATTAAGCTTTTATAACAAAAGGACACTGCTCATCTCATTAGCATTTTAAAAAAATATATTCTTACTCAGTGCTTTGAACAAAGAGTGCTGGACTTCCTTTCAGGAGAGGATTTTAGGTTGAGTTCAGGCACTTCTCTGTACCCATCTAGGAAGCATCTGTGCATCAGGATTTCAGACATGGTTTGCCCCAGTGTTTCCTTGATTGCTTGCTTTTAACACTATCCCAGACGTGTTGGTATTAAACATCTGCCTGACCAACACATCCACTGTGGATTCCAGGCTGAGACAACCAGTGTTTTACCTGAACTATGAAGAACTAACAAGTGGACTTCACTTCAAACCAGGAACCAAAAATTTGTATTAGTAGTTCCAAACAGTTTTTGGTTGAATCGCATTTCGGGTTTTTGTGATTTTTCTCATGGCACACTTATATCCAACTAATCCATATTCCATATGCCCATTTCCTTCCAATGAACAAAACTTTCAGTTGTAGTGAAAATTGCTCCTTCTTTGAAAAAAACTATAAAATCAGGACACATTTAATAATTCATACACCAGTATAGAGAATCGCAGAATGTCCTGAGTTAGAAGAGACTCATGAGGATCATCGAGTCCAACTCCTGGCCCTACACAGGACACCCCAGAATAACACCATGTGCCTCAGAGTGTTATCCAAATGCTTCTTGAACTCAGATAGGCTTGGAGCTGACTTCCCTGGGGAGATTATTCTGGTTCTCAACCACCCTGTGGGAGAAAAACCTTTTTCCTGATATCCAACCTAAACCTCCCCTAAGTTCCATGCCATTTCCTCAAGGCCTGTCACTGATCACAAGAGTGAAGAGATCTGTACCTGCCCCTCCACTTCCCCTCATGAGAAGTGGTCTTCGATAATTCCCCTCTTCTCCAGGCTGAACAAAACAAGCGTTCTCAGCCACTCCTCATAAGGCTTCCCCTCCAGATCCTTCATCCTTGTGGCCCTCCTTTGGACACTCTAATAGCTTAATGTCATTTTTATACTGTGGTGCACTTGGGGTCCCAGATGACTGGAAGATGGTGAATGTTGTCCCAGTTTTCAAGAAGGAAGACCCCAGAAACTACAGGCCTGTCACTCTCACTTCAGAGCCTGCTAAAATCATGGAAAATATTTTTCTGGGAAATACTGAAAAACACCTGAAGGACAACGCAGTCATTGGTCACAGCCAGCACAGTTTCATGAGGGGGAAGTCCTGGGATCATCAAGTCCAATTCCTGGCGCTGAACAGGACAGCTCCAAGAATCACACCATGTGCCTGAGAGCGTTGTCCAAATGCTTCCTGAACTCTGGAAAGCCTGATGCCATGGCTGCTTTCCTGAGGAGCCTGTTCCAGAGCCCAACCACCCTCTGGGTGAAAAACCTTATTCTAATATCCAACCTAAACCTCATCTGACACATCTTCATGCCATTCCCTCAGGTTCTATCACTGGTCACCAGAGAGAAGAAATCAGTACCTGCCCCTCCACTTCCCCCTGTGAAGAAGTTGTAGACTGCGATGAGGTCTCTGCTTGCTCTCTTCTCCAGGCTGAACAGACCAAGTGAACTCTGCCACTCCTCACACAGCCTACCCTCAAGGTCCTTCATCATCTTCGTTGCCCTCCTTTGGACACTCTCTAAGAGCTTTATATCTTTCTTGTATAGCAGTGCCCAAAACTGCACACAATATTCAAGGTGAGGCTGCCCCAGTGCAGAGCAGAGGGGGACAATCCCCTCCCTTGACTGGCTGGTGATGCTTTGCCTGATTCCCCCCAGGACACGGTTGGCCCTCCTGGCTGCCAGGGCACTGCTGACTCAGATTCAACTTGCCACAGACCAGGATCCCCCGGGTCCCTTCCCATGGCATTGCCTTCCAGCATCTCATTTCCCAGTCTGTCTGTACACCCAGGGCTACCCCATCCGAGTGCAGAATCCAGCACTTTTCTTTGTTAAACTTCATACAGTTGGCATGCATGCCCCTGTTAGAAACTGTATTTACATAATACAGGAACGAAAATTCAGGTACCTGAGAGTCTTATTAAATATGACCTCAAGGAGGCTCTCTCTCTGAAGCACATTAGAAAATAAACATACTCCAATGAATGAAAATAAAATGCTCCATAAACTAGCAGATCAGACTGAGTCAGCATAAATTTATGTCAGTCTCCTATGGAAGGAGGAGTCAGAGAAATAGAAGTAAAAGCACATTTTCTACTGGAATTGTATTTACATTTACATTAAGACTTGCTGACAAAAACATGCTTCCAAAAAGATCAAACACTGAACCATATTTCCAACATTGCTATCTGTACGAATAACAGAAGACCTAGATAAGAATGTCTGCAATCTCCTGCCCTATTTTTGGCCCACTAAATGTAGGTCCACTCCACCTGCAAAACCGAGATTACATTACCTTTACCCATCTTTCATTTAATGATGAAGATATGCCATGACACAGGAGTATCGTTATTCCTATGCAACGATAATATAATTCACAGAAAGTTTAAGCGACTATCTTCACCTATCATGCAAAAAATTTGAAATTTCTTTCTCCTTATAATATGATATCAAATTGTAGTTAGTAAAATGGTGAAAGAAGTCTTTGTCATTGTCTAATTGTTGGGGAAGATATTTCAAAAGCAGAGGAAAAAAAAAGTAACTGACAATTTAGAGCCTGAAAGATCTTGGCTCCAAACTTGAAAGTTCATCTGAAGTCCCAAGACGTCACTGCGTTCTCTCCAAGCAGTAACTGGCGCCTCTATAATTTAAGATTTCTGTGCAAACTTAAAAAAAAAAATAAGTCCAGCTGGAAAAGGCAAGATGATTCAATGTGATTACTCTTCCTGCACTGAGAAAACACAACAGTCCACCACTGACTTAAAGGAGGAGGAGGGGGAGAAAAAACCCAACGATGTCAACTTTGCTGGCTACACTGAGTGCCTGTATAATGTAACCCTGCTGGCATGCAGGGGAATTCCAGTTTCTACAACCTGTTCCTAATCAAATCATAGCACATTCTTTCTAGTAGGTTCCTTTTGTTGCTTTTTTTCCCTTCAAAAAAAAAAGGAAAATACTACTTAAGGGGGAAAAAAAAGGCATAAGCTGATCCAAAGAATAACAACAAAATAGCACTTACATGGCTTCTTTGGACATTTCTGGCATTTGTTAAAACCCCAGGAAGTACCCACGGTTCCACAGCAGTCTTCTTGTTTGGAAAGGCCAGGAAGCGCTTTGCCACACTGGAATAGTCAGGTAAAGAATACTCTGGTTAGTGATACTATAAAATGCTCACTTCTAGTACAATGTTTTCTCAGTCCTTTTGGATGAACCTCTTGCTGAGAAACTGAAGATTCACTGGAGCTCTCAGCTGAGCTTAAATGGTGCCTATGCATTGCAAAGCCTCCTATAAAGGCATGAGTCAGGTGACATTATTATCTTCCCCTGTATCAACTTGAAAAGAAGGAGAAAGAAATAGAAGGAAACAATATGCCACAAGAATGAGTATATTTCTAAAGGTAGTAACTCACCACTATTCCCTACCTTTTTCCTCATCAAAACATCCTTGTCCACCTTTTTAGAAGCTACATAAATTATCTCAAACACCTAATTACTCTCTTAGAGAGACAAAAAGTATGATTCTGTTTTTATGTTATTTCCTACTAAATAGCCTCAATTTACTGTCAACTTATGTTTAACGTTTATGATCAGTTACTGAAAACTGCCGAATTTAACGATTCTGCTGTTCAGACACTGAAGATAACACATGTAAGATGACTAAAGTTGAAATTAGTGATGCCTGTGTTATTCCAAAGAACTCTCTCCCTCCCCATGCAAATATTCAAATTAATCATGCAATAATTTCTGAGGTCAATTGTCATTCCCCCATCAATAATATACTTATTATGCTTTTTATTAATAAGAATACTAATTTTTAGAAGCTTACAAGGTACTAGTTATGTTCTTGACTTTTGCAATTTTCTTCTGTTTCTCATGGTAAAGAAAGCATAAATGTATTTCAGATGCAGATGTTAAAAAACCCAAAACATCAAAACCTGCCAATGATGTATGAAATGGAATGCACAACGAGCAAGAGAAGTTCACAACAGCTGCCCTTAGTAATACTTTCAAAGCAAATGCTGATATAAATAAGCACTGCAGCAAACAATTCAAATAGGCCAAAGTGTGAATCCTCAGTACAGAGTGAATAGGCTTTCTCTAATCTAACTCTTCTTTTTGACAGCATATAAACCTCTGACTCAAATGCTCAGTGCCACTTAGGTTTCAGCTCAAGACAGCTGCCTCATCCTATGCCACAGGCTGTGGCCTTGCAGTTGGTTTCACTTCAGCTGGTAACCCAGTCACTCCGCAGTGCAGATCACATTGAATGCACAGGCACTGATGACTTCCTCCAACTTTCCTAAAATTTTTCCAGTGTACTCTTGATCATATAGACACACATGAGCCAATGATGTTTCTGAAGCAGAGCTACTCTGTGTAGCTTCATAGTGTGACTAGTTAACAGGATGGTAAGCTACCCCACAACAGGGTTCTGACTCAGCAGAGGGTCCCCTCTGCATGGGGAGGGTCAGCAAGGCACCATCCCAGACACCTTCTCTATCCCTTTCTCACAGATACTGCCCCCAGGCACCTCCTGAAATATCTCCACAACAAAGTACCCCAGTACACTAAACATCAAACTGCAGTGTGCAGCCTGCAGCATCTCAGCACTTACTGCATGTGCAGCTTAGACATCTGCCAAGGGACGAGCGAGAAGCTGGAAGCATCCTCCATTCCAGTGACAGCCACACACGTCAAAGTTTTTGGCACAAGGGCAACTTAGCACCGTTATGGTTTGCCTCTGCACACCACCCAAATACAGGGTACCAGCACTTGTGCCTTGAGTCTCGTTTTAGGGTGACACATGAAAAGCAAAAAGAACGGAGTGGCCAAAAGGATTCAGAAAGACTGCTCAGTTATTGTGCAAGGGGTGCAACATAGGAAATACCATCCTCACCTGGATGGTATTTGGCTTTGTTAAAGCAGCAAAGTATCTAAGGAAGTCTCACCTTTCAGGTACTGGCCCAGGCTTACATTATGTGAACACATCTTTCAGCTGTCTTGCACAAGACTGACCATTCCTGACTAGTCAGAGTCTGCTGAGTTGTTTCCAGAAGCAACCCTCAGCCTGGTACTTCACAAAGATCACCAAGATGCACAAATGGGGGAATTTTGCACAACTCTGCTGTAACAGCTTGGTTGTTTCCAAAACTGGAACTAGCCCTGTCAACTGCCCCTAGCTAGATAATATACAGACTGTGCTACAGTTCACAGAAGCTTAAAAATCTTTCAGCTGGAGAATACTCAAAATGCCTCCTCCAAGTGGCTACACTAAAACCTTAGAGAATTCATGTTACATCCTTAAGCAATGCTGGTTTTCTCAACTTGTGTCCCAGGTGAGCACGCTCTAGGAAGGACCACTTTACACTATAACCACAGCTATTCAGTTTTACTTTGTAATTACAGATGCTCAACCTTTTTCCTAGAACTGAGACTGCTTTTTCAAAGACAAAAAAGCCACTTATTGAAGTCACACACTATGGCTGTTATCAAGAGTCAGTTAAAGTATGTTGCACTCAACTCTTCTTCCCTCAGTGTATCTTGCTTTTACAACTCTCCTCTTTCTGAAAAGAAGTAGAAGGAATCAAGGTTGGTGCTGCACCTCCCCCTATGATCTCAGAAATGGAGCATTTGGGCAGTGAGGCACATTACTTAAAACCTAGTGTTTCTCTTCAATGTCAAAAGCCTCAAGGACACATTCCAGCAGTTCACATGTGTCAAGGAAAGATTCCACTAAGCTGAGAGCCAACATGCCATCATGAACTGGCCTTTCACCCCCCCTCCCCCACTCTAGAATAGAAAAGGTGTCATTTAATAGTAATAAGTTAAAAACGTAAAAAGCAAAGAAGGAGAAGAAGGAGGGGAGAAAAATAAAGTAGTGGAGGAGGAGGAAGATGAACTGATGCCCACTTATAGTTTAGGTGCGGTGCTACAGCATTTGCACTCTACTGAAAATCATGATCTCTGTGGTCATAACTTTTTCAAATTTCCATATAAAAACCATGAGCAAAAACAAGGAGGCCAAAGTCTGAGTCATCTGGCAATTGCAGTTTGTAGTCCTGTCAGTAAAAACTGGCAATGATTAAAGCTGCTGCTCCCACTGCCTCTATGGTGAATTAAAGCTTGAAGAATCAATGATAATTTGGTTAACATCCAGATCATTGTAGAAACTGGCCAGTGAGAAAAAGCAACTGCCACATGGGGCTCCCAGTGCTGTAAGATCTGTGTAATTTTGGAGCTATGTATCAGAAAACATGACTGTTCTGCAAAGTCCTAATCCAAGCAGAAACAAAGAGTTCTTCTACGCCTAGTAAACCCTGATTTTTCTGATACATCTAATAGTGCTTCAGATACTCTCAATGCTCATGTCACTCCACAAACTGTTTCCTACTCTGCTGCATTTTCTTAAAATACTCCCCCCTTTCACAACCCTTAAGCAAAGCATCTGTGAACTGAAGCTCTGTTTCTACAGGTCTCAAAAACTTTTATCGGTAATTTCTATCCAGTTAAAAAGTCTTACCCACTTCCTATTACCAAGAAGAACTCATTAGTTCTTCAGCCAGTCTTTTCCAGTCTCTGAGTCACAAGTGACTGGAAACATCACTTAGGGGAATTCATAACTATTTATCTGACCATTCAACACAACTCCAACACACACATAAAAGCCTAAAAGAGGCAGGAAAGCTAAACAGGCATACAGCTTGATTATCCATGAAGATAATGCTATTCCCTAAGCTTAGGTTTACACTCTTCTATCCATCATCTACCTATATTTTAAACTAATCCAGTGCCTATTCCTGAGGGTTCCTGGAAAAGAGAACAGATTTTAATGAATGATATCTCTGTCACAAGCCTGGGATTTGGAAATCACTCTTACTGGATCAGAAGGCAAAGAAGTCATGAAGGGTTTGTATAAAAGAGCCCAACTGTGCTGAAAGAGGCTCAGCAGTAGCAGCAGTATGATGCACACATGGTACTGCTATAAAACAAAGTTCTTCCTGGGTAAAGCACTGACAGACACTGAAAGTATTGTTTCAAATCCACATATTTTTCCCCATGCGTGCCTGGGCTTCCATGCCAATATTTTATATAACTGAAAGAAGTACTGAATATTCCCATTGGAAGACTGAAATTCTGGCTGACCCTGTGCTGGTGCACAAAGGCCACCCCAAGCCACATCACCTCTTTGTTACTCTGTCCAGATTCCTGCCTCTGCCCCATTTCCACAGTCTTGGAGCGCTAACAGCAGTGCACTGCCACCAGGGTTTCATGCGTTTTCCAATGCCAAGGGAAAAGGAAGGATTATATCCTTGAAACCCCTCTGCTAAGGCAGTAGAGGAAATTTATTCTGTAAAGTGCAGTAGGGAGCCCAGTCTGGCAGTTACTCTCAGGGCAATCACAGAGGATTTTGGCCAGGGGACCACAACATTTCCTGGGACTCAGACACCTGCGTGACCCATCCACAAATCCCTGTCACAAGCTGTTAGTTAAAACCGCAATACAGGCATAAATAAAGGGGTGTCATATGATTAAGTATGATTGAAATTGATAGGTGCTTTGCCTGAGTTAATAGCTAATGACTCCAGGATTCAGCTCAAAAGACTGTATTTCACATACCACAATAGGAGAAGTGAATGGATACACTGTTAAACTTTCTGTAAACTATTCAACAGGCACAGACCTTGGATTGTTGCTGCTTTTTTTTTTTTTTTTTTCCTATAGGCACGACAGAGTAAGAAACCTCAAACTCAGTAAACTGCATTACTGAAACAATTAACAAACACACTTAATTAGCTTACTGACCAGCTGAATGACAGGTTGTTACAAATGAAGAACATTATCCCATGTAGCACTGGCTCACTAACAGTCATTGTCTCATAAGCAGAGGAGAGAAACTTAAACATTTCCAGACTTTCTAGAAAAACTGGTAAAGAATTTGTTTTGGCTTAAACAGAACATTCTTTACAGGCAAGTAAAAATTATCCAGCTTCCTTCTATTTGAGTAATTAAAACAATGTTTGGAGTTTTTGGTATCTGATACATCTTTAATCTTCTGATATTTCAGAGTATTGATCTTGCAAAGAAACTGTTGCGAATGAAGCATTAATCCTGGAAATGAATC